CGCGCGCAAAGCATTCGTTGCTTGAGTACGTAATCGTTACATCACGTTGCCATAGCAAATAAGTAACGGTTTTAAACAAAACAAAGAATCGCTCGATTGTTAGCTTTGTGGGACACTCCATTGTTGCGAAACAAACCCATTGTTACAATTACTTTTTCATTGTTTACAACACCTCTGGACACAATGCCAAACTTGACGACATCGAAAAACGAGCATAATGGATCAATTAACAGCAAATCTTCGATAAACGATAGCTCCGCGTCCCCGAGAAGAGAAGAGGAAAAAAGAACACTCGAAGAACTTCAAACACCAAAGAAGTCTGCGGTAGTCAAAAATGGTTTACCCAACCATTCTACACCGAAAGGCAAGACTAAACCGCCCGAGTTCTTGTCTCCTACAACGCCAGTTCAAAAGACTGTAGATGTTCTTAAATCGACATCGGAATCAGCATCGCCTGGCAGTCCGGGCGGCTTCAAAGGATTCACGATCGACCCGATGAGTCAAACATTTTTGCGCATGCCTCATATGTACCACAGTCTTCAAGCCCAATTGCAACAGAGTAATTCTCCGAAAGTCAAACGGCCGATGAATGCGTTCATGATTTGGGCGAGGCTCTATCGATCGACGATCGCCAAGCGGTATCCGAACGCGAACAATGCCGAGATTAGTGTCAAGCTAGGAGAGATTTGGAATGACTTATCCACGGAACAGCAACGGCCGTACTTTGACGAAGCTTCTCGTTTGAAGGAGAAACACAGAACGGAACATCCAAATTGGGTTTACCAGCCGAGACCTTCAAAACGACGCCTGACCTATATGACGAGCAATAGCCCCGGCTCTGGAATGCAATATAACAATGGTTCTTTAGGCTATCACTATCTCCACAGTCCGCCGTCCGACGGTAGTAGCACTTCGCTCTCGCCCCAGTCGATGCGTGAACGAGGAAACTCTTTGTTCTGCTACCCACCCAGAAATCTCAAAGACGCACTTAACATGGTACATTCACATCGAATTCCTCCGGGCATGAATAGATCGAACGAGAGCTCAAGGGGTGCGGAATTTTCTTCTGGCATCGAGCAAGATTTCGTTAAAAGCTTGTTCTCAAACGAAGAGCGAAATGCTGCGCACAGGAAAGAAAACGGGTGCGCCTCCTTCGACAGCAAAAAGGAGCAGGAACAGGCTGTGGACTGGCTCAAAGTTGAAGCGGCAAAATTTGAAGAGGAGCAAATGGCGGCGAGGCGCGCTCAGCAAAACTGCATCGTCAACGATGCTATGTTACCCACTGTCAATCACGTGACAGACGAGCAAGAACAAGTAGCCAAGATAAAACAGGAAATGGACAGTGATGGAAGCGAGTTAGACAGGTACTTAGCCGGGCTGGACGAAACGATTAAAGAAAGTCTTGAAAAACTCAACGAAGTACCTGATGAATTGGACTTAATGGATGACGAAAGTTTAGACATGCTGAGTGACATCGAAGATGTCAGTAATGACTAAATGGAGAAAGCAACTAAGCGAATCGATAAATGTGAATATTTACGAATATTTTTATTCCTGAATAAAAATATATAGATGGAAGAATTGTATCTTTTTTACTGCGTGGTTTAAAACCAGACCGGGCGAACTGAGAGTGTAAAATTTTGACATAGCAGTTTCAGAATGCAGGGATATTAAGTTTCGAGGTTATCATAACCGCTGAACTTATACTAAAGCTAATACCAAAGGAGGATTTGTGCAGTGGAGTCTAAAGTAAAATCATCGCAAATACCGGCAGAAAAGGTCTAAATCATGAAAATGAAACAATCGACAGCTTGTGCGATAAATAGTTCATGTCCTCATATATAATAATGCTTGTAGATATTTGACTTCAGACTGAAACTAAAGCTGTTAATCTTGCCTTTTTATGCTCTTTAGGTTAACGACGGCCAGTGTGTCGAGCGTAGATCAACCAATACCTACGGTCTGTTCAGTGCTGTGAATCCACCCTCCCTCTATTTTTGAACGAGTAGGCATAGATTTGAGGTCCTTTCGGCAATAAAACGCCGCGTACATTACTTGCAAAAACTATCGGAAGTTATATTTCGGACGTTTAATTTTCGAATGCGTTTTTGTCTCATTTTGAACAAATTTCGCAGAAACATTTTTGACACTGCTGAAACGTAGCAAAAGTAAATTAAAATTTGCGCCAACACAAAACACGAATCAGACTGAAACAACATCTGAAAACGATAGTTTTACTGCACTCCTAAGGTTTTACAGATTCACCGATAAGAGCTGAAAAACAACACTAATAATAATAATAATAATAATAATAATAATAATAATAATAATAATAGACTTGTATAGCGCTAGAACTATGCAAACATAACCTTATCAAGTTGTTACGTATTCCAAGCAGTGACTAAACTACTGTATATTCCGGCGCCTTGAATACACGTGATGGTGTCGTCCAAGGAAGTACCTACAGAAAAGGTTTTAAACTGTACCGCGATGTAAATCTTTCAGACGCTTAAA